ACACAGACCACTCTGCTTAGTAATAAGAGAACCCCAGCAACAGAATGCCACCAGAAAGCGATACTATCGAAGCCCAAGTGCTAGAACAGAGGCAAGAGAGCCTAGGCCCAGAGGCTCAGATCGACAGGGAAATGGACAGAGAGGACCCCTACCCAGCCACTCCTACCCAGCAACCAGCCAGCCAAGAGAGCGTCTTTGAAATCCCAATCCTACCACCAAAAAAGCGCCAAGCCAACTTCTCGCCAGAGGCTGCCTATAGAGGCAGAAACCCCTTCCAGAACTCCTCTACCCCAAAACCAACTGCCAAGAACTCGGAGCAGGCCATCTACTAGGCGAGAGACCTGATTCTCCAAGCGTCAACTATGGCTGAATCTCATGTGGCCCAAGATAAGCTCCTAGAGTTACTAGACGTCTTTAGAGACTACACCAAGAAAGGCAGAGTAGTAAACCAGTTTGCCAACAAACTGTCCGCTAAACTCGCCTATCACTTAGCTACTCTTGCAAACGCCTCCTAACAGGCAACAAAAACACTAAAGAAGGCCACAACTATAGCTACAATAGTAGCTCCTACTCCTTCCTAACTAACTTAAAAGCCTTAGGCCTTATACGCTACAATCGCAGCTAAGAACACAACAAGCCAGCCCTGGATAATAGTACAGCTAAGGAAGAAAGCCAACCTAAAGAAGCCAGCCGCTCACTACTAGATGCTTCTAACGCTAGAAGAAGGCTAGTTAACTAGCCCGCTAATAGTCAGGAATAAAATTAATTAAGCTTTCTAGAAGGCAGGCATAACAGCCCCTGTTATTAAAGAGGTGTTAGTTAGCAGAAAGAACAACCTAATTATTACAACAACTCAAGGATACTCTAGCGAATTTCTACTACAGCAAATTAACACCTAGCAAAACCAACTCTAAGTTAAAAAGGCCTAACTAATTAAAGCCTGGACTAAGGTAGTAGTCTATAGAGTGCCAACAACGTTCAAAGGAGCCGAATCGCTCTAGCTCCTCCATAACGAGATCCCAACCTACAACAAAGGATAAACTATTGATGGCAACCCCTACTAGTTAACAAAGAACTAGAAGAGCAAGCAGACTAGCTCTATAGTAGTTGCCTTTAAGACAGAAGAGGAATCTAAGAAGATAGGCAGTAGGATCACAATCCTAGGCCAGTCTCTCCGAACCGAGAAATACAGGTCCACGCCACCTACAACGCAGTGCTCTAACTGCCAAGCCTTTAGCCACAACGCAAGCAGGTGCCGAAACTAAGCAGCATGCCAGCTGTGCGCAGAAAGCCACACAACTGCTTAGCACAACTGCTCAAGCTGTAGCATGAAAGGAAAGCCATGCAGACACACTCTCCCTAAGTGCTACAACTGCAAAAAGCCCTACTTCGCTAATAGCAAAGACTGCGAGATCTTTCTAGCTATAACAAAGAGAGACCCTCAGCAGCTATCTCTATGTTAGAGAACATTAAGATTCTACAAGTGAACCTAAACAAGAGCCTACACGCTACAGAGTCAACGCTACAACTAGCAGTCGAGCTTAAAGTTGATATTATTGCAGTCCAAGAGCCATGGATTGCCCTATTAAGCAACAACAACTACTCAGCAGCTAGGTCAGTTGCCCACCAAGCATTTACCCAGCTGCTCCCACTAGCAGATAACAGTCTCCGCCTAAGGGTTCATTTTATATATCTAGAACAGCAAAGGCAGAGACATCTCT